TTCAGCAAGTGAAAATAAAATAAACAATAAAAGGTGAATCAAATGGACCATTACGGCAAGGCTGGGATGGTCAATTTGGTAAAGTAAATCCGTTGGGTATCTTTCTTTGCCTTTAGACAATAATTCTGATGGCAAAAGAGCCAAACGGGACAGGTAAAAAAACAAAAAAAACAAACTTTGGATTTTTTAATACTAGAGCGGTGATGAGAGGAAGATATCCCCACAATATCAGTGGGGATATCTTATCTCTATCACTGAATTCCAGGTACTCGGTAATGTCTTTTGTTAACTGTTCACATGTCTGTTTATTCAATATACTAGAATTTAATTTCCTGTTAGTAATTCTTCTCCTTTGAGAAAGTTTTAAAGCTAAATACAGAAAGTACTTAAAAAAAATCTAAACATGTACAGGACGTCAGGACCTTTAGACTAAGCAGGTCCAAACTTGTAAACCCACATAGTAGAAAGGTTATTCTCTTCTTTCTTCTCAGCTCAATGGTCATTTTTACCTGTACATTTGACACTTGATAAATTTTTTATTTTCATTTCTAAACTTTCAAGTGTAAGACAATTGGTAGTTGGTTGGTGTTGAAAACATCCCCTTTCCTTGTGTTTTTGTTAGAATGTTTTTCTGCAGTTCCAACAGGGACAGTATTTTCTTATCTGTTAGGAGAAGCTGATGAGCGTTGTATTTATTTTCATGGGTTTGACTGCTTTGTGTCGGTGGCTTAAATTGCTAATTATTCTACTGAAGTTGCATATAGAAGAGCACAGATTCAGTTGTAGACAGATACAGGTCATTACTTTGGAGTATGTTTGAAATAAAGTCAAGTGTGCACAGACATGCAGTGTATTCGAAGTTCAGTCAGTTTTTAGTCATGTGATCTGGATCCTCAGTACAGCTGTAAGATGTCTATACGACTTGTGAGACCAACTTAACACTTAATACTTCTCATATTTAATGTCATCAGTGGCTTCTGCCAAGAATTTCCTTGTAATAAGTGCCCACAACAATTTTGAAGTACAGATCTATTTAGGATGTATAATTAGCCCATCTGGGATTAATCAGTTGATGAGTTATTCTTAAGTAACATTTCAGAGAGCAGAGAAGACATTTTCTTAGCATTTACACAACACCCACAGTAATTTAATTATACTGTCCTTCCTTCTCTATCACAAGAAATCCTCATATTTAACATCCATTAGTGTCAATATTAATTCAACATTAACACAATTTAGAACACAAAACTTGCTTATTGCAAACTCAATAAAACTGCAGCATAAGTTTGCTTTCTTGCATTATTTGTGCTTGGAGGAGCAAAGCAAAAGAACCAACAGACAGGCATGTAATGCACCTACAGCACTTTTCTAGTCTTAATGAACACTCAAAGCACTACTAGGTACAAGTCCCACTTTATCCAGACATTCTTGCAACACTTTATCTCCGTCACTTCAAGGAAAATTTTTTAGAATAGCCAGTTAACCTGACATGTATGCTGGAGAGATTCAAACATGCAACCTAAACCCAGAAAGGTCCCAGACAGAATAAACCACAGACCTCGTTGCTGTGAGGCAGCTTTTCTAATCAGTCCACAAACACTGAGTGCTTTACCACAGAGCACCACCATGTCATCCTGTTTCAGATCTCGTGTCTGTGTCAAGACACTCTCAAGGCACCATGTGACTTTTGCATGAACTCTGCTCCTCATGTGCACTGCATGTGATCACTCCTACTCTGTTTTACTATTCCACTGTTTGGAGATTTCCCCATGATCTTTCAAAGATCAGCAGTGGTGCAAACACCAACAATATGAGTGAAAGTGTTAAGGGACCTCTGGAGGTCTGTTAACATTGTCTCATAAAAGAATAAAATGCACACAGACATGGCATGTAGAGTTTAAAGACCCCCTAAACACACCATTGTGGTGACAGCATAAAATTTTAGAATATTTTCATTTTGTTTGTTTTTGAATCAGGTTTGGACAAAGACATTTTTCTGCAGCCAAAACAGGTCAAATTATCACGAGCAGTATGGAAGGGTTAAAGTGTCTTCCACTTTTGTTTTCCCCCTGTAAAAGCGTCATTGTTCTGACATGTTTTTATTGTGCAACTGCTTTAACTTTAGTTTTTTTGGCTTTGTTTTGGACCAAAAACTATGAACTTCTAATGCCATCATAATAGCAAGATTTCAGAATATTGGAGCACATAAATAAGTAAGTCGTACTTTTGTAACTGGTTGAAGTAAAAATTGTCAAAGCACAAAAAGAGAAATATTCAAAAAAAGGCATAAATACTTTAAGAGAACAGTGAAGAACAGGAATTGAGTAGATGTTAAGTCATAGAAGCAGACCAGACATTTCTAAATAGAGCAAAAACTGCCTCGAACATTTTGATGGAAATGTGAATCATTCTCTTTAAACTCACACAAGATGTCAGACGAGCTGCTTAAAGGTTGCCTCCTTCTCGGGTCCAGCTGTGAGTCAGTCAGCGTGATGTATGGAGTGGCAGATTTCTTTTGTTTCTGCTGGAATTAATCTGAACAAAGCTGGTGTTAAGAAGAAGAACAACTATTACCATCACATGGAGCTTCACATGGAGAGGATCATCTGACAGCAAGTCCAGGAAAGTGAAGTGAAACTTTACAAAGAAAGAAAACACAGTGAGGAGCTTAGGGAGAAATTGTGAAAGAGGAAAATCAGGAACTGATCAGTTTGAAATGTTTGAGGTTTTACAGAAATCTGCATTTCTGTACTGTTATTGTTTGTACTGAACACATCCTCCAGAAATGTTCTATTTAAATTGTGGTGTGACAGGATACATTATGTTTGCCATTTGACAAAAAATTTGCCATGTTTTTTTTTATTCTTTATGTTTTGGTGTCTGACTGTGATATTTTTACCTGCAGTTCGTCTCTGTGACCACACGAAGAAAATAAACACAGTTTTTCCCTGCTGACGTCAGTATTTCTATCAGTTTAATATCTGCGTTTACGTACTGCAACATTACCCCACTGAAGAACACTAGTGTTGAAACACTGCAGTAAATGTGTCATAAAGACAGTATATTGTATTTGAGTTGTAGTTACTGACAATGACCAGTGGAGGGCAGTGAATGGTCCATTTCAACCTCATAAATATGAGGCTGTTGGTATCAGTGTTGTTGATGAGCCATCAGTACAATTATAACACAATATTAATATAAAATAATTTGATAATTTAAACACCCGTGAAAGAATGACTAAAGCAACATCATGTAGTTTGTTCATTTATTTATTTGTTTAGTTTTAATAACACAAAGAAAGCTCCCTGACAAAATGGGAACATGTAAATAAAGTTCCTTCAGAGATGGTGGAAATGATCATGTAATGTTGTCTTCACAAGTAAGCGAACAAGAAGAGATTAAAAACATCTAATCAGTGAAAGAAAATCCATAAATCAGTAAATAAAAAAACGAAAACATGTAAAACATGAACAGCTCAAAGTGTTATGCAAACACAGACCGAAAGAGTTCGACTTACAGGTTTGTATGTGATATTTACTCAAAATAAGTCTAAGGTTAACGGTGCATGAATATATTTAGCATTAGGGTTCTCCTTCAAAATTAAATGAGATATTAGTTTTGTTGGAGCTTCATAAAACAAAAAACTTTCACTGTAATGAAACATTTAAGACTTGGTTTTTTATTTGGACACTGAACAGGCTCATGATAAAACAAAACTAAAGTCCAGAGAAACAAAATAATGTGAAAATGTTTTTTAACAGTTTGTTAATTCATCATTTAAGGCACTGCAGCTCAGTGATTCCTCCTTGATATCACAGTTGGTCACCTCTGTTTCAGAGAAATACAACATACTGATATTTACTGTGAAGCTTTGAGTGGAAAAAGACAGAACAACAACATGTAGGTCCTGGAATAATTGTAGCCTCCATCTTTAAAGGACTGAAGGGGAAGATGTTTACAAGGAAAGGAAAGAGCAGTTTATTAATCTTTTATCGGTGGAGTACTCTCCAGGTCATTGTGAAAATTAAATCCTGTTGAATTGTACTGTATTTCTTTTACTTGACAGCCAGTTATTAACTATACACAGACTTTGATCTAACTGTTGTGCTACATTAAAATATATTGCACTAAATTATAATGAATGTGGAATTTTATGATATTCTGGACTTTTCTTGCTGTATTTTCTCTTGCTGGATGTTTAATTTGAATTGAATACCCCTACCTCATCCTAAACTGTACACAAATTCACTGAGGAAGTAGGAAACAAGACTGTAAATCCAGGATAAAGAGGTTCAGTGAATGTGGTGTTGAAGGTGTGGAGGTGGATCAGAGTGTCAGAGGAGACTCTGTAGAAGGACAGAGTGCCAGCAGGACAGTCCACATACACTGCTACTCTGTTAGAGACAGAGGAGGACGACGAGGAGGAGATGGATGTTTTTTTATTATTGTGCCAGACAAAATAACAACCATCATCTGAACAGCTCAGACTCCAGGACTGATCATTCTCTCCAAACACACAGTGTTCTCTGTCTCCTCTCCTGTTGATTGCTCTGTAACTTACTGATATGTTAACTCCTCCTCTACACTCAACCTCCCAGTAACAACGACCAGTCAGACCATCTCTGCACAGTAGCTGAGGCCAATAATCAAATCTGTCAGGATGATCAGGATATGGCTGACCTTCCACCACACGTGTCACCTTCCTGTTGTCTTCAGACAGTTTGAGGTTTGTGTGCACTGTGTTTGTGTTGATTTCGAGTTGACAGGAATCTGACGGCGAGAACAAACACATCCAGCTGCAGTTATTGATCTGTCATGTGTTCATTGACACTTTGATGATGACATTAGAGATGTCATGTGAGAGTTTGAACATGGATGAATGTGTGCCGCTTTGTTTTCATGAATCACATTAAAAACACACTTACACTTCCTCAGACCCGGTCTCAACCATCGGACTCCAGCAGGCTCCACCCTGAAAGGAGGAGGGGGTTCAGACCAGCACAGTCTCTTTCAGCATGCACACATGGACATTACATTACTCTCATACACATATTGTTAAGTTTTTATTTTAAATTTTTAAATTGCATTATTTAGTTCATTTAAATCAAACTGAGGTTCATTTTCTCCTTTGGAACAGTCAAACATTTTGACACATTTAAAGAAAATGTGTCTAAAGTCCCTTCCTGTGGTTGTCATGTAAGTATCTTCAATCAGACCGTTATGGGTTTTTTTTTTGCTTTTATTACTTTAAAAAAAAAAAAAACCTAGTCAAATAAGTTTAGATATTGCATAAGTAATCATAAGTAATCATTTCAACCTGACATTTTGGTATATTTTATTACTGATTAAATGAATCAAGAGGCCTCTCCCTACCTGAGAATTTCCAGTCTTAGCTGCTCTAATAGTTTTACTCCTGCCTCTTCTGGATGATTGTAAGTCAAGTCAAGCTCTCTCAGATGGGAGTGGTTGGCCTTCACAGCTGATACCAGAGAGGTACAACCATATTTTGTGATCAGGCATCCTGTCAGCCTGAAAAAACAACATGTGACAGATACTGTTAGAAAACAGCATGGCAGCTAAATACAAAGTGTATTCTTTATATGGCACTGTTAGGAGAAACAAAGTCGCTTTGATCTAAAATCTAACGCCACCAAGAGCCAGATCATTTGATGGTCACGAAAATGATCAATCTAAGGAGAACTGAATTCCAAGAAAACCCCAAAAATCTACTAAAAAAAAGCAACATGCTAGTCCATTTTGTTGAAATTTCATTGCAGTAACTCAAAATGGTACTCTGTAGTGTGCGTTTGAGAGCATGTCTGACAATATCAGGTTTTAGATATTTGTTCAGGGGGATCTCCTCCCAGATCTGGACAAGGGTGTCACTGAGCTCCTGGTCAGTTTGAGGTGTAACCTAGTGACGTCGGAGGACCAAAACATAATTTCCCAGAGGTGGTTTATTGGATTTAGACCATACACCAAGAGAACCTAGTGTAGTGTCTGACAGTGGGTCCAAGTGGGTTCATTCTGATACCCAGTGCAAGTCATGGTGTCTTGCTTGTAGAGGTCCTTGCATCCCTCAGTGAGATATCACTGACACACCACCGAAATGATCATGCTGAATGATGTTACATGCATAATGTTCTCTGTCATTTCTACAGACCCCTTTCATGCATTTTACACTTGCATAGGGAGAACTTGCCCAATCTACAAATACCAATCGGGCTTCTCATGCACACTTTGTAGGTTCCAATTTGTTAAGCTCATTTATAGCAAAGCAGCTGAAATTGATTAACAACCCCCTCTGCTACTTAACTGACCTGGATTCTGCTGTACTTGAGCAGTGAGTTGCTATGAGCCAGAGAACTGATCAGTATTAACTAGTTCATTTAGTAGGTCTGAAAGCAAATGGTACTTAGATAAAAGAGGTCAGTTTGATTTGGTGAGAAGGCAGTTTCCAGAATATTTAGGACACTTCTTAGTGTGCAAGGGACAAGCTACAAACCAGAACAGCTCTTCAGTCTCTCTTCCTATCCTCAAGAAGTAGACTGACTGAACTCAGGGGAATTGAATCCAGAGAACAATCCAACAGGAGTTGGTAAGAGTGGGTTCGGCTGGCTTAGATTTGGTTCCAGTTGATTCAGAGTAGTCTAAACAGTTTAAGTACGGACCTAATCTGTAGATAGGAGAAAAGTGTCTGCCAGAGGACTCCAGGAAACATGCCTGCCACTGAAAAACATTGGTTGATACCACTCATATTCACACTCACACAGGCAGGGTAGAGAAAAGTTAGAGCAATAAGGAAGAGAGAGAAAGAGAGGAGGGGGCTGTACCTGGAGGACAGGGTAACCATGAGAAGTTGTACATTTTAAAATCGCTGACCTGAGTGTTTCCAGTTTACAGTGTGGATTATCCAGTCCAGAAGACAATATGGTCATTCCAGAGTCCTTAAGGTCATTGTCACTCAGGTCCAGCTCTCTCAGAATAGAGTATGAAGCGCTGAGAACTGAGGACAGAATTTCACAGCTTCTCTTTGAGAGGTTACAGTTGCTCAATCTGATTGGAGAGTAATGAAAAAGAAAACAAACATAAACCGTCTTACCTGAATTCTTGAAAATACATAATCTATGGACATTATCATCCCTCTTGCATGCCAAGTCCTTCTCAATTTACATAACTGAGAAAATGCTAATGATGAAAAATGATACTCGGTGCTGTACAAATGCAAATAGACTGGTTAAGTTCAAACTACTCCAGACTTTGCACATGTAAAAAACAAAATATGTGAATCTAAATATGCCATTGTAAAATCGAAATTATTATTTATGGCAGGGAAATTCAAACATTTGGCTGATAGGCACATAGATCTGACAAATATGATCTGACCTGAGTGTTTCCAGTTTACAGTATGGAATTTCCAATCCAGCCAACAGCAGCTTCAATCCTGAATCCTGCAGTTTATTGTTACCCATGTCTAGAGATCTCAGTTCACAGTCTTCTAATTTTAGAGAAGAGGATAGAGCTTCACAGCTTCTATGTGACAGATTGCAGCTACTGAGCCTGAAGAGACAACAATAATAAAATAGACCAAGTCATTGCAGTTCAATTCAGCTTTATTTATATAACAGCAAATCACAACAGCAATTGCTACTTTTATATTATAAGGCGAAGACCCTACAATAACACGGATAAAACAGAGAAAACCCCAACAATCATATGACTGTCTGATGCTTTCTCGTTAAAATGCTCATTTTAACGAGAGTGGTAAGGAAAAACTTCCTCTTTTCTATGTTTTTTTTTAAAAGGAAAAAATCCCTTTTAACAGGAAGAAACCTCAGGGAGAACCAGCTAGAGATTGATAATAACAAATTATTAAATGCAGAGTGGTGTATAAACACATGGTACGTGAAAAGGGTTAAAAGAAGGAGAAACACTCAGTGCATCATGGGAATCCCCTGCCAGCCTAGACCTATTGCAGTGTAACTAAGGGAGGACTCAGGGTCACGTGATCCAGCCCTAATTATATCCTTTGTCAAAAAGGAAAGTCTTAAACCTAATCTTAGAAGTAGAGATAGTGAACTATTTCTACTTCCAAACTGTTAGCTGGTTCCACAGAAGAGGGGCCTGAAATCTAAAGGCTCTGCCTCCCATTTTACTTTTAAACACTTTTTACACAAGTAAGCCTGCAGTCTGAGAGCAAAGAGCTCTAATGGGGTGATATGGTACTATTAAGAGATGGGCCTTAATTATACAAGACCTTGTATGTGATTATAAAGATTTTAAATTTGATTCTGGATTCACCAGAGAGCCAATGAAGAGACTCCAATATCAGAGAAACATGCTCTCTCTTTCTAGTCCCTGTTAGTACCCCTACTGCATTTTGGATCAACTGAAGGCTTTTCAGGGAATTTATAAGCAAACCTGATAATAACAAATACAATTTTGTGTTCTGTTAAAGACAGGCATGTGTTTAAAAATAATTGATGATTTCATGATAACTTACAGAGCGTTTTTGCAGGCTTTGACCACTGGCAGCAGCTGCAGAAGAGCCTCCTCTGAATCAGAGTATTTCTTCAGGTCAAACACATCCATATCTTTTTTGGATGACAGTAAGATGAAAACCAGAGCTGACCACTGAGCAGGAGACAGTTTATCAGTGGAGATACTTCCTGAACTCAGGGACTGTTTGATTTCCTCCACCAGAGAACAATCATTCAGTTCATTAAGACAGTGGAACAGGTTGATGCTTTTCTCTGTAGATAGATTCTCATTGAGTTTTTTCTTGATATATGTTTTCTGGTTGAACTGTGAACTACTTCTCAGCCGTGTAAGCAGGGATGCTAGTAGAGTCTGATTGGTCTGTGAACTTCTTTCGGTCGTTGTCAGCAGGCCTCGTAGGAGGGTCTGATTGGTCGGCATTGAAAGACCCACAAGGAATCGGAGGAACAAGTCCAGGTGTCCATTTGGACTCTCTAAGGCCTTATCCACAGCACTCTGGTAGAAATGTGTTTTATCAGACCTACTGGAGATTGTTTGTGCTTCTTCCAGCAAATTGACATCAGAGTTGATGAAGGTCAGACTGACATGAAGAGCAGCCAGAAACTCCTGAACACTCAGATGGACAAAGCAGAACACCTTGTCCTGGTACAGTCCTCTCTCCTCTTTAAAAATCTGTGTGAACACTCCTGAGTACACTGATGCTGCTCTGATATTGATGCCACACTCTGTCAGGTCTGATTCATAGAAGATCAGGTTTCCTTTCTGCAGCTGATGAAAAGCCAGTTTTCCCAGAGACTCAACCATCTTCCTGCTCTCTGGACTCCAGTGTGGATCTGTCTCAGCTCCTTCATCATACTTGACCTTCTTCACTTTGGCCTGAACCACCAGGAAGTGGATGTACATCTCAGTCAGGGTGTTGGGCAGCTTTCTCACCTCTGTGGTTCTCAACATTTCCTCCAGAACTGTAGCAGTGATCCAGCAGAAGACTGGGATGTGGCACATGATGTGGAGGCTTCTTGATGTCTTGATGTGAGAGATGATCCTGCTTCCCTGCTTCTCATCTCTGAATCTCTTCCTGAAGTACTCCTCCTTCTGTGGGTCAGTGAACCCTCTGATCTCTGTCACCATGTCAACACACTGAGGAGGGATCTGATTGGCTGCTGCAGGTCGTGTTGTTATCCAGAGATGAGCAGAGGGAAGCAGGTTCCCTCTGATGAGATTTGTGAGCAGGACATCCACTGATGTGGACACTGCAACATCAGTCAGAATCATATTGTTGTTGAAATCCAGAGGAAGTCGACACTCATCCAGACCATCAAGAATGAACATAACCTGGAAGTCTTCAAATCTGCAGATTCCCGAGTCTTTAGTTGTGGTTATAAAGTGATGAACAAGTTCCACCAAGCTGAATTTTTTATCTTTCAACACATTCAGCTCTCTGAAAGTGAATGGAAATATAAACTGGATGTCCTGGTTCGCTTTGTCTTCAGTCCAGTCCAGAATGATTTTCTGAGTTAAAATTGTTTTCCCAATGCCAGCCACTCCCTTTGTCAGCACTATTCTGTTTGTTTGATCTCTTCCACTTGAGGCATTAAAGAATTCTCCATGTTTGATTGTTCTTTCTGGTCTGTCTGGTTTCCTGGATGCTGTTTCAATCTGTCTAACCTCATGTTCATCATTGACCTCTGCGGTCCCTCCCTCTGTGATGTAGAGCTCTGTGTAGATCTGATTTAGACGGGTTGGGTTTCCTGCTTTAGCGATCCCCTCAAATACACACTGGAACTTCTTCTTCAGCAACGTTTTAAGATCATGTGTACAAATTGGAGCAGACATTTCTGAAAACACATAAGAAATAACTTAAGTTATTGTACAGCAAAGAGGAAGTGATGAATATACTAGCCATCAAACACCTGGGTAGTAGACAGATGTGTCATTACTGAACTTATGCACAAGCTTCATTTGTGTCTTCAGCTTCCAGAATCCAACCTGCAACCTTTCACTTGCTAAGTAAATGTATAAAACACTACACTAGGGAATTATTCTCTTGAACTATTAGAAAATTTCTAATTTTTCCAGCAGATAAGATCTTTAGAGAAATACTCTTACTGCTCTGCAGTTGGTCAGCCAGCTCTTCCTGCTTCATTGTCCTCAGGAAGTGTAGTGCGATCTTTAGGAAGGGTTCTCTGCTTCTCTGCTGTTCATTCACCCCAAACACGTTCTCATCCTTCTTCTGATGCTCAAATGGTTCCATGTAGTCTGGAACCAGAACTCTTTGGATCGTCTTCAGCTCATTCTTCACAAAAGTGATAATGTTTTCCTCCAGTAGCTGGAACAGAATACTCTATGATTCACCTGATCATACTGAAATCCCGGAGCCAAAAATTGGATCAATGTTAGACACACTGTCCTTACACTAGTCTAAAAGGTGCAACATAGAGATCACTGTGAACAAAATAGAAAATAGCAAAAGTAGTTTTTGCACATGTACTGACCATAAATATTGAGTTAAGTTTTATGTGGTGATGCTGCTGGCCAGACTGATCAGTGAAAACCTCTGAGCTCTCCTTGTTCACCCTGTGGAGAAATCATGAAGACTTGGCTCATGTTATGGCTCTCCACAAAAAAAACAGGAATAAATTAAAACTACAAGAAGCGATGAAACTGACTGTGCCCATTAGATTGTGTATAAGAAAACCAACTACATCTTATTTTGCTGTGTATTGTCTGGATCCAAAATTTTAAACTTCATATGTGATTTTATCAGTTAATATTGATTTCCCGGTGCCTGGAAGTAACATTAAGCATTAGCTGATATTGGCTTGTAGATGTCTCTGGACTCAGAATACCATCTTATATGTTAAATTTGGGATAGACTGGACAAAGTACATTTAAAATATGACAGTTTAATCTCCCCTGGCAAATGATCAAAGTTTGACAATCCGTTGTGGACGGATTCTATGAAAACTCAAAAGCTTTACAATTTAGCATCACCAAAGCCTTTAGATTAAGCATGTTTATTCATTCCAATCTCTAGGAGAAGTTTGATAAATACAAGACCAGAAAATGGCAAAAATTGAACCAAAACTTGCATCTTAGATTGAAAATGACTGACTTCCTGTTATGTTTAGAATAGCTGTGAATAGATTAACTAATTAAAATTAACTAATTAATCTCACAATTTTCTGTAATTAATTGCGATTAATCACAATTACTTGATCAATAGCCTGGCTGCAATTACACTTTTTCAACTTTATATTTAAGCTTGTAACTGACATTTATGCAATATAAAGAAGTAAATGGAGAATAAACACAAAGAATGTATGCTGCAATTCAAAGAGAATTTAAATAGTTTTCTTCTGTCTTTTAGCACAGTTTCTCTCCTGTGAAATACAACTTTTTAAAAAACATATATAGTAATAGTATACACTAATATATAATATATAT